GGGGCCCTCTCCAGACTACCATCCTTTCAGGTGGTACTACTCCAGAACTATCTAGTGGGTAGTTGTCATAAGCACCATCATCGGCAGCAGTTGGGTTTGGGGAGCCCCTTACGCCAATGCAATTCTCCTACAATCCGGCCAACACCTCAAATACACCAGAAATGCAGCATTCGAGAGTCCACAAGCTACCCCAGATGAATTATATACATATATATATATATAAACAAATGAAACCACAGTATACTGTAGTAGTTTCCATTTTCTTTTCCGTTCTCCCAATTGGATCCCTATATTCCCCTTATAAAAAGCGGTCCGAAGGTCAGGCTTAGAATGACAGTTGCGCGAGAACTATGCCCCGTCAACACTCGCTGAGCCCGACGCCTGAGGACCCTAAACCTGGAACCTAACCCTGACCCTAATCCTAGAACCCCGGACCCAGCAAGGCTGAAATATGTGAATGTTATAGGGCGGGGGCGGGACCCTCTTGAAACTCCGCCAGATGCCTACGCTTTCTCAGGGCTCTTCTGTTTTGAGAGATTCCCATTTAGGATTCATCAACAAACCACAATACGCAGAAACTTTACATATGTTCTTTCTCCGTTAGTATTAGTTCATATCACCTACATGAATGCCTCCATGGGATTCAGAGAGAGTTGCCGGCGGGTAGCTGCCAGTTGAGTACCCCCATGCAAGGCCCTACATGTAATGCTGTAAAAAGGGTAATGGGGCCGCATGAGGTACATGTAGCCCTCCTACGAGAGCACCCTACAGCCTGAGTGCAGCTCTTGTAGGGGCCTAGATAGTTACATGTCATTTTCATGTTTGTTTGAGGTACCCTGGGCTCCAACTATGAAAGCAATCTAGGACCATGATATTGCAAACTATCTAGGCTTCTACTTTACACACCCTTCTCTTATGATCCCGTGGATAAGCCCGGTTTCCATTTCATCTTCCATTTTCCTTTATGGTGCTCCACTATTCTTGGCCCTATGCGACAATTCACTATACGTCCTGATATGACCTCTGCAGACCTCCCCATGCACCCTTCTAAAGGACACTATCCAGGAATACCCAGCAGCCCAGGACAAGAGAACCGAGAGGTGCTGGTTCTCTGAGCTGCTAAGGACGAACGTGTGAAGTTATTGTTTCAGTTTGGGTCCTCCAAGAAGCGTACGTAGAGGCTTTGAGCAGTTTAGGGCTTAGGCAGTAGGGCTTAGTTTTTTGTACATGGGTTCATGTGGAGACTCTGAGGGGCATTTGAGGATCCTACGGAGATGATAGAGGCCCCTTTAGGGACAGCAATGTCCAAATGATCTGTACTAATCTGAACCAAGGTGCTGCCCCCTTCAATCGAAAAAGCTTGAGGCCGTGTTTCTACAGGTAGAAACTCAGGCTGAATAGTCGAAAGTCTGGTTTCAAAAAGGCAACCGGCCTCGGTTCCGAAACAGGAGATGACCCTGCTGAGCCGTCGAGGCTCCTGTTGCAGCCTGTATAGTTACACAGTAGTTTCCCAAAATAGGGGGACCCCGATATAGACCCTAATATACTATAGTCCTTATTATAAGGACCCCCAAAAAGGGGTACCCCTAATTTTGGGAAACCCCCACACAGTTACACAGATGGTCGCCAAAGGTCTCCCCTGGGCGGCCAGGTCAAGATTCAATTTGGGGACCATTTTTTCATAGACATGTAGCCGTCGCTTGAAGGATTTTCTCTATACCTTGGGTCATTCCGCCACCCAGTGACTGTCCTTAAAGGGGCCTTATTAAGGGGCTATTATAGTTCCTATTACCCCTTGTGGAAACAGTTACTGTAAGGGGGAATGACCCAATCTATACCTCTTTGGGAGCTGATGTAGGAACAGTTAAGTACATACGAGGAACACTAAAGCTCATAGTGGTGGGAGCCGTGATTGTGCTCACGACAGTGGCCCCATGTCTACACCCCCAACCTGCACCCGAGCGCTAACCTTTGCGTACGATTCCGAAGACTTAAGCTCAACACCTCAAAGGACAACAACCAAAACCCCTTTGAGACCCAAATCCCGATACTTGTGCCCTACACAGGCAAATGCCTAAGACTTCAAATCCCCCTTGAACGCCCAGCGCTTTCAAAGTCGGCTACTGGGGCCTCCCTTCAGCAGGAAGAAGCAGAGGGCGCAGGAGGGCTTTATGCTCTCATTTGCGGATGCAGACATGGAGAAGGTGCGAAGACGGGCTTCGAAGCCCGAATGGTAGTTTCCTTCACTTAAAAGGACCCCAATATAAATAAACAATATTCTATTCCTCGTAATGGGGACCTGTAACAAGGCACCCTGCTTTTATGTGGGAACCCGCCACATAGTTCACCATAATTTTCTCTTTAGATTTGGTCAATGCGTCCTCTTCCACTACATTTTGTGATGCCTAAGCAAACGATTCGTGCCCTTGCACAGTGGTCAAGACAAAGGCTGCGGCTGCAAGTCCTGAGCCCAACGCCCTGCTTCCAAAATCCTTTTTTAATTGCGCTAGCCTGCTTTAACCTGGAAGCCTTAACGCATTGCTTCCTAGATCCTACAATACTGCAAGCCGTGGACTTGTCTCAGCAAGCCCAAAATCCCAGAAACCTAACGCAACCCTTGACCCCAAATCCTAAATGAAAGCCGTGCGCCCCGAAATCCTAAATTTCCTAAATCCCAAAACTTCAGCGCCCAAACCCGTAAACCTCAAACCCCTCAATCATGACTCGTAAAACTTGAGCCTCAACCTTCCGGAGGCCTGGGAGCTAGAGAGCTTGCCGAAGAAGCTCAGCTACAGAGTTTAGGGTTCAGGTTTAGGGTTCAGGGTTTGGGGCTAACTTAGGGTTAAGGCTCAAGGTTTCCTAAACCGCAAATAGCAGAGTTTCCATTTTTCCCATCCCTGTACATTCTAAACCGTGCAGATAGATAGGCTTTGCAGTGGCTTACAGTGGTTTGAAAATTGCCCCCTTACATAATCCCCGAATCCATTGGAATCCTCATTAAGGGATCCTCTAAAGGGTTCATTATTTTGCGGAAAGGAATAAATCTCTGTAGTACCCGGATATGAGGGTTTCCTAGAACCAGGGGGCCTTTTTGCCTTAGTTATGGAGACTTCCACTCCCATTTTGTCCAGATGCCCTTGTGCAATTTGTTTTGTTGTTTTTGCTTTTGGGGGGGGCTTCTGATGTTGGAAAATTCCCGAAGGGTAGGTAGTACTTGTTGGTTCTTGACGCCTGAGCTTTGCTTACGCCTTGTGATGTATTTCCAAACCCTTACAAGCCCAACCCTAGACCCCAAATTTTAAGCCCAAAACCCTGAACCCCAACCCCGAGACCCAAAGCCCTAAACCCCAAACCCTACCCTAAACCCCCTAAACCCCCTAAACCCCCTAAACCCCCTAAACCCCCTAAACCCTGAACCATAGCACGGTCCTCACCCAAGGAACATGCAACAGGGCGGCGCCCTCATGGCCGCCATGTCGGCAGGTCTCCTGGTCCACCGCCTTGTCTATGTGGCCTGGCATGGGGTTTAGGGCTTATGGTACAGGGTATAGGGTTTAGGTGCTTACAGGGTATGCCGAGTGTGCTTGTTTCTGGCAGGAAATTGTGTCCCTACTCATCATTAAAGCTGGGTATCTTAGCTTCTTGATAGCATTAGACTGCTGGCCCCTAAGACCTAAACCTTAGACTTCTAAACTCTAAACCCCCTAAACCCTAGTCCTAAGAGATGGTGGTCAGTACGCTTAAGTGCTGTGATTAGGGTTTAGGATTTTGATGGGATTAGGGTTGAATGTGGTGTTTAGGGTTTAGAGTCACCCTAGACAATAAACCGCCCCAGCCTTACACAACCAACACCTGGGAATGCAAACTTGGCTTAAACAGGTCTTGGAGCACCAAAACCAATCTCAGAATGAACCCGCAGAGCCCAATCTACCTTAACAAGGCATATACCCCTACATAATCCTAGGATCCCTGACATGTCTTAAGATTAAGTGCGCACGGGGCACGGGGCTCCTTGGGAAGTTTGATGAATGGGCAAATAGTAGTTTCCCTAAATGGCAGTCTAGAACCCCAAATACTACAATCCTTATTATGGGGACCCCTAAAAAGGGTTTCCTTGGTTTCGGAAAGCCCTCAAATATTGACAGCCATCCAGAGAAAGGAGTGGTGAGTCTGCAGAGGTATTTTCTGGGCCCCATAGCCCTAAGCCCACATTGCACCCTCTGTGCACCCTTAAACCCAACGCCCCCAAACCACACCCCCTTAAGGGCTTGCAGTTTTGTTTTTGCTGGGCTGTGTAACTACAAGCCAACAGAGTATGCTTGTCTCTCTACAATGCCAGTGCGGGTAATTCTATCTTCAAGAGCCGTACTGAAGCCTACGTTGTGGATGAGGTCCTCCATGGGTGGCTAGGAATTCTGAGTGCATCTTCAGTCGGGCGTGTAGTGTAGATAGAAGTTGCTCGGACAGGGCGTTGTGGTTGGTCTTCCGGCCTGTGTATATGAGCAATAACTGTTATAATACTCCCCTATATAATCCCCTTACGTAACCCCCTTTAAGGAGTTTAGACTGTGGCTCATATAATGCAGAGCTCAGGATTCTGGAGTTTGCAGGCCTGTATGCCTAACAATGGGCTTCAGAAAACGGATGTAGGAGGCATCGATTTGCTTCAGGGGCCCATTTGTTAGGGTTAATGAGTCCTAACGACGGGTGAGAGATGCTGGAAATCTGGCCTGGAAGTGTTTTTGCTTCTTGGATCTTGGCAGGGAGCGGTTCCATATAAGGCTGGGTTTTTATAGGCCTGAACTCCTACGAGTAACGCACATTTATGTCAGAAAACATTCGGACCGGAAGGCACCACGATACCATAGACCCTGCATACTTAGTTCCTGGTGTGGTCGACTCAGCCTCGCAGTTCTTAAGCTCCAAAGGAATCTACAGGCCTTGCCTCATTGATCAGCACTTGTCTTTGTTGCCCTACTTAGCAAAACGAAGCTGCCCAGATGCAGTGGCGATTGGACTGTCCACAAGTCAACTACGAGGACCTCGCATCAAGAGGGTTTCGGGCTTAAGGTCAACACACGATGTGCCGTAGATAGCAATCCGAACCTTTTCTTCAATCTCATTCCGGCTCCCCCCCGATCTTCATAGAGTCCTATGTCTTGCACGGGGGTATTGGGGAATAGGGGGATATATTTTATAATCTCTATAGGAATCAGGTAGGGATGATACATGGGTTATGTAGGGATTATCTTCCGTTATTTCCGAAAGTTCCTGCGGAACTTTCTTGCTAACTGTAGTTGGGTTTAGGGTTCAGGGTCAAAAAAGTTCAGCCCTTTGTTGCTGTAGTCGCTAGCACATGTTTTCAACTCGTCGTCCCCAACTCATTCCATGGCTTCGCACTGTTGGTCCCTCTCCTGTCCAGTTCTAACCAGCCGTCTTGCTCCTGTCCAACTCTGGGAGCAAGCTTCCTGCATCTTCCCTTTCAGCCTCATCACTCTCAAGGCTCCAAAGGACCTCGCTTCTATTGATTATTATTAACATGTTTACTATGACTATGATTATTATTACTATTGTTATAGACCTGCAGCCAGTGAGCACCCTCTTTCAGAGACGGAGATCAGAGTTGTCAAGCCACACTATGCGCTGCGCCGCTCTCAACGTCCAGTGTTCTTGAAAAACAGCCTACGAACGGATGATACCTTGGTAATGAACATGGATATACACATTCCTACGGCAAATAGCTTCAAAATCATTGGGAATTATATAAAGCCCCCGATGGTAAACATTTTCCAGCCAATTCCCGGCTTAGACCCTAAACCCCACATGAAGGTTACGCCGGATCATCTCAAGCTACGCGGAATCAATCAGAATCACCCAAGGTTGGCAGGAGGTCGTATTACCTGGCAGGATCGAGTATACGTCCTTACTCTAAGCCGTAAACCCTAAACCACGGGATTGCAAATCAATCGTGCCAGGACACCTGGACGCCGGATTTGATCTTTTTGCTGAGTGCCCCGGCCAGCATTCCTGTTGTATGGCTGTATGACTATGACGACGATTACCAGTGTTACAGTAGCTACTCCAACTACCAAAGCAGGTGGCATAGTTGCCATGTTCGGGCTTGTACCGTTGCACGTGCTATTGTTTTGCTGCCGTTGCCACTGACTCTTGGTCTTCCGTTCACACAGTCCTACGGGAACGTTTGCGATCATCTCCAGATGCAGGAGAAGGTACATGCGCGCAACTGCCTCTACATGGTTACCGGGCTTGTCGGTCATCACAATATCAAAGTCATGTATGTCAAGCTTTCATTGCAGGTTCAGCAGAGCGAGTTTTCGATCCAGTTGCATTGTAAGAGGAAGGAATCCGCTAATTACACGGACCCAGGTCTGAATGTTCAGGCGGAGTCAGCTTCATTGGAGCTGGCATTCCTGTGTTTGGCGAGAGGCAGAGCCATCCAAGTGCTGACCCTCTCACATCTTAAGATGATGTCTTCCTTGCCACCAAGATGAACGTAGGCTGACAAGCCCTGACAGAATGATTTTCAATGTGCTGTCGGACGATGCCCTCTCTTCGTAAGCCTCGAGCCTGCCGAACAAAGCGGGTGCCAGGAATGGCCTGCTCACTACAGAAGAACGCATCTGGGAACTAGCGTCGGCATGGGAGATAAGAATGACAACTGCAGAAGCAAAACAGCCATCTCCAATTACTACGTCTGTTGTTCATGACCTTAATAACCCCTATAATAATCCCCAAAAAATCCCGTATATAACCCCCTTGAAGCAGTTTAGAATACAACTCACATGGAAAGGAGAATGAAAAGACGCTAAACCCCAAACCCCAGAACTTCGCTTCCCCAAGGCCTTGGGCTGGTAGTTGTGCTGGCGATGAGGCTGGCGCGCCTTGGCTTAAATGTGCCGCCTGCATGTTTAGGGTTTGGGGTTTGGGGTTTGGGGTTGAGGGTTTAGAGTTTAGGGGTTTAGGGTTTAGCGCTTGGGGTTTAGGGTTTAGGGCTCGGGGTTTAGGGGGAATTATTCTGGGTAGTATGAATGGGATAGTGTGATTTACAGTGTTGCTGTCAAGGAACTTAAATTAAGTTACTATAATAAAAAGGAAGCCTTTTTTATTTGCCATATACCCATATTGTGGTAACTCAGTTTACTGTTCCTTAACAGCAATCCATTGGGTACTACACCCCACCCATTAACAGTTGCTTATCATACATACGTATATACATATCGAGAGCGATACAGCCCTTAATATGAATCCTATTGTAGACTGTTAGTGGGTGTGGGGGCAGGACCTGAGCCCCACAAAGCCTAACTAAACCCTATAAGCCCTATAAACCCCGCCCTACAAACCCTATAAACCCTAATCCCTAAACCCCATAAACCCTAAACCCTGTTAACCCTGTGAACCTTAAGCCCTATAAATCTTAGCAGCCGAGTTATAGGGCAAGGGCAGCTATGCTGGTTTGCTGTTAAGGAACTTAATTTAAGACATTTAAGTTACCATATTGTGGAAACCACATTAAGTACTATATATATATATAATATGCCCAGTATGGTAACTTAATTTGATCCCTACATCGCCCGCCCCTATGTAACCCTACTTTCCGTTTCAGTTTCCATTTTCTTCTCCATTTTGGAGCCCAAGGGCATCTGGAAGACGTCTGGCAGTCTGCTTCGCTGTTATGGCCCAGCAGATCCGGATGGTTTAGGGTTCAGGGTTTAAGGTTTCGGGTTCAGGTTTCAGGGCTTAGGCTTTCAGGTTTAGGGTGTAAGGTTTAGGGTTTAGAGTTTCACGGTTTAGGGTTTAAGGTTTAGGGTTTCAGGTTTAGGGATGAGTTGTTTGAGTCACATTCTTTTCGCATTCTTCTTCTCCAGCAAAGCCCCAGTCACGAGTTGTCAGGACTTGCCTCTTCAACTCTGCATATACCTTAAAATATGCAGACTATGGGGACTTGCAATGTCGTATAACTCCGCAACAGGTACAATTATAAGCGTGTCACTATCACTATGTGTGCTCGGTGTCTCAACTTTTGTGGCTGAGGTGGTGGAAGGGGGCCCCGCGACGCGGCGTGGAGTGGAGCTACGCACTCACCTACTGGGGCGCCCTGATGCTGATGAGGGATCCAGGGATGTCTGTTGGGATTCTAGTAGCTAACATGAGCCTGCCTGTGATCTTCACGACAAGACGAAAAAGGAATTAAGGATGCAAGCTCCAAATCTAATTTTTAAGCAGCTTTGCGGGGCCAAGGAATTTCGTAGTTAAGTTTGGGTAGTAGGGGTCACGGATCTTGGCTGCTGCCTAAGCCAGCAGCATTGGTGCAGCAATTGTTTGCAGACAGCGGAAGCCGACACACAGATGCCGCACCCGCAAGATAAACGCACAAGCCGACCGGGTGTTGCATTATTTCGGAAGGGTCCTGGCTGTGCGTTCGGACCTTACGGCGGTGGCTGCCTGTTTGGAGTTTTCCGTTTTCACTTGCCATTTTCAAACGTGACGGCTGCACCCCCGGCAACGGCACAGAACCAGCACTGGTGGCGTGATTTGTGATAGCTCGGCCTTACACCCTGTCTTGAAAGTCTCCAAGCACCTGGCAGCTTTTCGGGGCAAAAAACACCACCCCATGACTTTAGAATTTGAAGCAACAGATCCATAATCCATATGGATCCTGCCGTATCTTCTGTCTATGTCTATGTCGTACCCTCTTTTTGCTGACCCCAAGAGGAAGCATACATTTCTTCAACTGCTAGCAATATCTTCCATTGACATGTACGGTGTTTTCTGGGTGATGTGATTGTCAAAAGTCAAAAGTATGTGAGCCCCATGTAAGACCTTGATCATGACTACGCAAACCTCTGAATTCTAAGCCCTGGGCCGCCAGACACAAAGTCGCCAAGCCTAACTCAATCCTACCCAATACGTTAGACCCTGAACCCAGAAGATTGATTCAGGCGCAATGCTCTTTCTTTGGACGGCCTTCCTGGCTACCAGTGTGCCGCCCTTCAACCCCTCATGCCAGCAGTTGCTCAGTGTAAGAAAGGATCAAACCACAGGCTTTGTTTTCGTGGCAAAACCTGGTTAATGTGAAATGCTGAAGACATAGGGGACTGTTGGAGTTACGGGTGTCTTTTTTGTGCGGTCCATCTTAAGAGGTTTCCAAAAATTGTATGCCTGTGGTGATTGTAGTGCGGGATCAAGGCGTTCAACTTGCATGAATTGTTCTGTCTATGGCTTCAGACAGCCTGTCATATCATCCTGTGCAAGTGCAACCCCCCATCCCCCTCGTATCAAAGTATCTCTTATTGCATGGAACCGCACAGAACATTTTGTAGGCCGCTCCTTGGTGCACCATCCTTGTATTAGTTCCTGCTTGCAGGATGAAGCTCAGCTTACCCGGGTGCAGGTTTAGAGTTTGCTTGGCGCGGCTTTTTTGGGGCCAGCTAGTCTGTGCAAAGCCCCCGCGTTCCTAGCTACTCCCTTTCTTGCACAAGTTTAGACCCTGTTCAACACCCAGAAATTAGATCCGAAATCCTCAACTCCGACAGTCCGTGAGGGTTGGTTCCCCTGAAATGCCTCGCCCCAGCACCAAGACCCAGAAACTCAACTTACTGGGGGTTAGTGGGGAATCAGGGCATATATTATTTAGGGATTATATTCCTTTTTTCCTTGCTAACCCCCAGTAAGCTAACCCTCAACTCCTAACTCCTGCGCCGTGGTCAGAGGCTCCAAGGGGGCTTAAAGTTGCTTTTACACATGGCAGGGAGGTGTGGAACTAGTGAGCAAGACCTGATTATAGGGGTTATACGAGGTTTTTATTGGGTTTTTATTGGGGTTATATATAGGGAAAATGGAAAAGGACATGGAAACTACTTCTTACATAGGGTTATATTTGGGTTGTATAGACGTAGTCTTATGCGGGGTTAGTAGAATTCAGGGAATATATTCGATAGGGGTTCTGTAGGGATCATATTCCTCTATCTTCTTAACCCATGGTAACTAATCGAAGGAAGGAAGACACCAACAATTCAACTAAAGTGGTGGAAGATTTTGATACACGTTCTGGTTGAATGTGGGGTTATATTGCCCCAGGAATGCAGAGTTATAAGGAAAATAAGCAGGAAAATCAAAATGGGACCCCGATATAGACCCCACAAAATACTATGATCCTGATTATGGGGACTACCAGAAGGTACCCCTAACTTTGCGAAATCCCTTTACTTGGAGACCCTAAACCCCAAAAAATTAAGCCCAAAACCCCGAACCCTAAACTCCTAATCCTAAACCCTAATCCTGAATCCAGGCTATTCGATGACAAGGCCCAATGTCCGCAGCTGTACGGAATTACAGCCTCATGGCTGGAGCTTGTGGGCCTTTCTCCTTACCTTCCAGGGCCATGGTTTAAGGTTTAGGGTTTCAGGCGGGTCTATATTTCTGATATGGCTCAGGGGTCGAGGGTGGTGGGATGCTGATTTAGGGTTAGTCTTTAAACCCGTAAACCCTGAATCTTGTGTGCACGAGATGGTCGGGGCTGGTTGGACAATTGAAGCTCAACAGGGATTGCAATCGTCCTTGTCACGGCGGATGCAAAAATCCTGCATGACCCTGCGTAACTTTTACCTTGGGAATTATGGTAGTATAGTATACTGAGGTCATGCAGGGTTTGTAGACCTAAACCCTAAGCCTAGTATCAACAGTAGGAAGCCCCACCGGCTGTGAATTCCGGCCAGGTTCAAGGATATTTGGGACTGTCCTTAAACCAGGGTACCATTTTGGTGGCACCTACAACAAGGATTATCGTGATTGGGGGTCTATATTGGGCCCCTCCAATTATAGAAACTACCATCTGAGAGTTTCTCAAAACAATCCCTATATAGCCGCACCTGGAGCCCCAGGATCCTTTTATAATGCCTATAGGGCCCCAGATTTTTCCACCCCTAGCATATTTTTTCACCCTCTCCCATTTTTTGACCCTGTATCCTATCTTTCTGACCCCGGTGGACTCAATACTGTCCTTAACCACTTATTCAACACCGGCTACCCGCTTTTCTGACCTCCTTGTTCTACTCTTTCCACCCCCCTAGGTGTTAGGCAGTTCTCCTAAACCCTGAACTGAGTGAGATCGGGGCCGTCAAGCAGGGCGAACGAAGCCAGGAGGCGAGCGAGCTCCCAAAAGCCCTCTGGCAGGCGACGGAACTCCCAGTCCCACAGGCAGCTGTGGGGTGTGCAGGCCGCTGGCGAATAGTAGAATGAGCGACCCCGAACCTTCCTCCAAGTCGGTGCTTCCTTCTTTGTTGAGCTTCCCAGGTCCTTCCCAAGCCTTTTCTGCCAGCAAATCTCGGGACCAGGAGGCCTGAGAGCCCGGAGGGTGGCAACGATTCGAAAAGTGAATCAAGCCCCAAAAGAATTACACTCCCAGCACCTTGAAGGCCTCTAAGGCCTCGCAGTTTCAGGACCTCCCACGTTTCAAACCCCCCCATTTTCGGGCTGCCAGACCCCTGTGTGC